GAGCACTGGCTTGGGGTGCGGTAGGGAGAGGGCCAGGAGCCCCATCCTATTCTTCCCAGCAGCTCCATGAGTGTGGATCACAGCGGAGCCATCCTACCTTGTGCAGCCACAGGGGTCAGGACCAAGCCATGGTATTGTCATTTGACATCGAATAAGGAAGACCACAGAATAATCTATGCATTTGAATTATGGTGCTTGTGAAGAATATTGAAAGTACCACAGACTGTCAAAAAACAAATAAATCTGTCATGAAAGAAGTACAGCTAGAATGATCCTTAGATAAGGGAATGGCAACAACACTTAGTCTCACCTACTTTGGATAGGTTAACTGGAAAGAGCAGTCCCTGGAGAGACCAGTCCCTAAAAGTGATATTATGCTTGGTAACATAGAAGGGCAGTGAAACAAAGGAAGACACTTGATGAGATGAATCGACACAGAGGCTGCATGGATGGGCTCGAATATAACAACTGTGAAGGTGGCACAGCACCTGGTGATGTTTCCTTCTGCTGTACATAGGGTAACTCTAAGTTGGAAATGATGGCACCTAACAATAACAACATGCATATATATATTATAATATACATTGAGGGTGAGATGAGGAAATATTTCATGCATAAAAATCAACTTGAGATAGTTGTAAAAATGTAACACAGGGAATCCAGGACAGATAAACCCCTCAGGACCAATAATGAGAGTAGTGATATCAGGATGGGAAGGGGAAGGTGAGGGAGAAAGGGGGAAACCAATCACAGTGATCTACATAAACCCCCTCCCTAGGGGATGGACAACAGAAAAGTGGGTAAAGGGAGACATTAGACAGCGTGAGACATGAAAAAATAATCATAATTTATAAATTATCAAGGTTTCATAAGGGAGGGAAGGTGGGGAGGGAGGGGGGACGATGAGCTGATACCAAGGGCTCAAGTAGAAAGCAAATGTTTTGAGAATGATGATGGCAACAAGTATACAAATGTGCTTGACACAATGGATGGATGTGTGGATTGAGTTAAGAGTAGTATGAGCCCCCAATAAAATGATTTTGAAAATGTATTGGGCGTAAAAAAAGAAAGAAAATTCTCAACAGAGGTTTGAGTAACAAAAATGGACACTCGGGAAGAATTCTATTAGTGATTTCAAAACTTGAGGTGAAGAATACTTTCTAAATGCAAAACAAAAGGTCAAATAGATGGAATAAATGGGAGAGAGAGAGAGAATAAATTTACAAGTTCCATCATGCATCTAGTGGAAATTTCAGAACAGAGAGCAAGAATGGGGGATGAGGGTAAAAGAAGAAAAACCTCATGAAGTAATTTGCGGGCAGTGAGGGTGGGAGAAATAAGTTTTGAGTAAGATAGGAACCCTCAACTGGTTTCCTTAAGTGCTAAGCAGGAAGAACAAAAAGTACTTCCCAAAAAATGTGTGATGGAATTTCAAAAGCAAATATTATAGAAAATATCCTAAAGGTTTTTATAAATAATGATGATTGCATACACAGCATAAATTCCTAAAAATCATTTGGTTTACCACTCCTGTTGGCAAAAAAAAAAAAAGTCATTCTGCACCACCCTGACCATTAAAAACTTTTGTGCCCATAATCTAGGATCAAGTGTAGGTATCTGCTTTTGCAGACCTGTGGATCATTCATGTACTCCCCATGGGGTGGTATCACCCACTCTGGGAAATACTGCTATTTGTTATTTTTATTAGGGGCTCTCAAGTCAGTTCCGACTCAGCAACCCTGTGCACAACAGAAGGGAACCCTACCTGGTCCTGATCCATCCTCACTATTGTTCTGATGTTTGAGCCCATTGCTGCAGCCACTGTGTCAGTCTGACTTGTTGAAGGCCTTCCTTTTTTGCAACATATTCTTTTTGATCACGTCATTCCTGGCACAGTAAACCATATGATTTTCTGATTCAAAATGGCCAATACCAGTCCATTTCAGTTCACTAACATCTAGAATATTGATCCTCATGCATTCCATTTTCTTCTTAACTAATTCCAATTTTCTTAGATTCATACTTTGTACATTCCAAATTCCAATTACTAAAGGATGTTTGCAACTGTTTCTTCTCACATTGAATTGTGCTCCATCAGAAAAAAAATTAGCCCCTGGCCCGATTTTAGTTGATGATATTGAACTTCACCATCATCTCTGATGTAGTCAGTTTGATAACTGTATTCCAGCTGGAGAAATCCAGGTATATAGTCGCCATTTGTATTGTTGAAAAAAGGTATTTGCTATAAATAAGCCATTGGTATTTCAAAATTCTATCATGTGATCTCTAGCTTCATTTCTATTACCAAGACATTTTCCAACTACTGTTCCTTCCTCTTTATTTACAACTTTCGCATTCCATTCGCCAATAATTATCAATGCATCTTGATTGCATGTTTGATCAATTTCCAACTGAAGATGTTGGTAGAATTCTTCAGTATCTTCATCACTAGCTTTCATGGTTGGTACATAATATTTTTCTGTGTGGCCATGGTCTAAGAACACAATCAGAGCAAATTGTCATTAGGTATCTTTGACCTTCTGTCAATCAATGTGTGAGAGGTTTGTAGGAGCGTCATTATTATATTGGAAAGCACACAAATTGGTGAGTCAAAGGGGCTAATAGGAAGGAATGGGTGTGTGTGAGAAATGCCTGTTAACACTTGTGATATATACAGAATTAAGAAATAATGGAATTTTCCCCTTGAACTTTTTGAAGTCCCTTTGTATCTTATGTGCTATAGGGTAAATCTATAAGACAAAGAAAATACCTTTTAAAAAAAAAGTTTGGGTGACTTCACATTGAAGGTAATGTTGCCATTCTATTGCATACTTATTTGAAATAAGTTATACTGGCAAACCAAAATTATCTCTAAGCATGTGTGACATGAAAACTTGGGTCACTGAATATATTATTGTCACATTTCTAGTAAGATTTTTGCAGCCATATTGTGTTTCTCTAAAAGTCAATGCCAAAGAAAACAAGAAATTATAATTTATTTTTGGAAATTTTTAATGAAAAAGTAAATGAAACCTTTGGGAATACAAGGATATTATATTCACCTGTACTTAGCCATGTAATTTTTTTGTCCCAGTGGATTGCCAATATAATTTTCCAACACAAGTAATTAAGGGATTGTACCCCAAATGACTTGTTTTTCTTAAATATGGCTTTGCTGCACCATAACAGTTCCTTGTTGCATTTCCCTACCCTTTCAGTGGATGTATAAGTAGGACACACTGCTCTTTATTAAATGTACAGAAATATTTGATTCTTCTATTTGTGCCAGAATTTACAAGCTGACTTTTCCAAGCAAAGTATTAATACATTAGCATCTATTTGTTGTATAAATAGTGCTTGATGGCTTTGATTACATGATATCATTTAAGACAATGATTATCTGAGGTATGTATTATTATTCCCAGGTAAGAAAATAAAAGATAAGAAGATTTTTGTAACCTACCTAAGAGTCCTTAGACAATAAGAAATGAATGGAAACTGATCCCAGGTTTACATGGCTCAAAATGCTCACATCACTATGCCTGTAATGTTGGCATTCAGATACAAATTTTAATTCATTTGTATACTTCATACAGCAATTTTATTTTAAAATATAATTTATTTTTTGTTTAAGTCTGTGTGCTATCCTTTGTCCCTATACTATCCTTTGTCTTTGTTTAAAAAGTCAAAACTTGAGAATTCAGACACATAATCCTAGTACTATTTATCACATGATATAACATTGTGATGGTACACATGTAACATTGACTGACTTATAATCATATAGAATTAAACTCAATACTTGGCGAAAAGCACGATTGCTGACTGTTATGCATGGATGTTTCCTTCTACTTTCTTTAGATAGAGGTTTTCGAAGAAAAAGTAAGTTTAAGTTGGTCTTTACATTAAAGCAATAATGGAATTAAAAATTAATAACCTATATTTTCCTGTCCTTGATTGTGTGTTCTATTTTGAATACAGGCACCATTTTTCTGTAATGCTAATTTGTCTTTCACTCTAATCTCTTAGCTTTTTTTTAGAGTGATTACTTCCATTACTACCTTCCTAAACTCCCTTAAATGCCCTTACTATAGAACTGATTAAATGAAAACTTACCCTATTGCAGGTCCCCAAATACTTTAATTCACTTTCCATTTAATCTTAGTCCATAAAAATACCTGGACTCGTCTTATTGCTTAATGCAATCCCACACACATACAAAGGTATGGTGTGGGAAATATATCTTGTTGGATTTAGCAAAATATCCAGAATCTATACTTCATAACTTTGACCTTTTCAGCTTGAATGCAGACATAGTCTAACTTTGGTATAAATGATTATAACTAAAAATGTACTTTTTTATTCCAGGAGAAGTAGGAAGGATGCCAAAGGTAACTCAATGTTTGTTGGCCCAATCAACTGGATAAGTGGAAATAGCATTTACTAAGAAACATTACTGGGAAAGAAGAATATTTGAGATGGGAGTAGAAAATCAAGAGCCTTTCAAAAAACACTTAGGTTGTTTAAAAATTTGTTATTAGAATCAATGATGCTGTGAATATCCTTTTACATATCTTCTGGACATCTGGGGAAGCCTTTCTCTAGGGTATAAATAGGAGTAGAATAGCTGGAGACTAAGATAATTCAATTTTAAAGAGTTATTAAATTTGAAAAGAAAATTTGTGTGTATGAAGTATCCCGCATAAGTGAGGTAAAGTTTCCATTTAAAAATCTGATTGTAAGGTTATTTTTAGACATGGGCATTGTAGGCTCATTTTAGGCAATTTAATCTCGTCAGGTTCTTGTTTCAATAACCAAACTCACTGCCATTAAGTTGATTCTGACTCATTGCTACTGTATGGAGCATTGCCAAGATTGTGACTCTCATGAGAAGAGATAGCTTCCTATTTGTCCTACACAACAGCTTGTAGGCTTGAACCACAGATCTTGTGGTTAGCAGCCTAACACCCAACCCACTGTGCCACCAGGCACCATTGAATGGATAGATGGAGACTGAAAACCATACAACTGTGACGGAGTTCATTATTTTGGGGTTAACAGATAATCCTATACTATGTGCCATCTTATTTGTGGTATTTTTAGCAGTCTATATAGTTACCATAGTTGGCAATATCAGCATAATCATCTTAATCCGAAGCAGTCCTCAACTGCACACTCCAATGTACCTTTTTCTCAGTCATTTGGCCTTTGTGGACATTGGGTACTCCACGTCAGTCACGCCAGTCATGCTCATGAGTTTCTTGAAAGAGAGAACTACTATTCCTGTTATTGGCTGCATAGTCCAGCTTGGCTCTGATGTCACTTTTGGTACTACAGAGTGCTTCCTTCTGGCCACTATGGCTTATGATCGTTATGTGGCCATCTGTTCTCCCCTCCTCTATTCCACCCAAATGTCCCCAACCATTAGCTTCCTTCTTTTGGGGGCTTCTTACCTGGGTGGATGTATGAATGCTTCATCCTTTACTGGCTGTTTAATGAACTTGTCCTTCTGTGGACCAAATAAAATCAACCATTTTTTTTGTGACCTCTTCCCACTCTTGAAGCTCTCTTGTGGTCATGTTTATATTGCTGAAATATCTCCTGCTATCTCCTCTGGGTCAGTTCTTGTAAGCACATTGTTTACCATAGTCGTGTCCTATATCTACATCCTCCACTCAATCCTGAATATGCGCTCTACTGAGGGGAGGAACAAAGCCTTCTCTACCTGTACTTCCCACCTCACTGCAGTGACTTTGTTTTATGGGACGGTTATGTTTGTTTATGTGATGCCCAAGTCAAGTTATTCAGCTGATCAGGTCAAAGTGGCATCTGTGATCTACACGGTGGTGATCCCCATGTTGAACCCTCTCATCTACAGTCTCAGGAACAAGGAAGTGAAAGAGGCCATGAGGAAACTGATGGCTAGAAAACATTTGCTTTTCTGAATTAAATCAGACATGAGTACATAAATTACAAACAATCTAGGTGAATATATGTGCCAGATAGTTTTTATCATTAAATTTATCACATTTATGTTGAAGAGCTCCTATAAATATAAAAGCCAATGTTTATTTTCATTCATAAAGGTTTGTGAACACTTACTGGAATGAAATTAAATGTGAATTTTCAAGTTAAGAATGCTGCCAGAAACTCATTTCTACTTAAAATTTCCTCCACTCACTAATCACATAGTCTGTGACAACAGACATGTTTAAGCCAACATTCCTTTTTCTTTGAATGCTAACTTGTAAAATAACATTTGGAAAAGCAACTTGTCCCCAATAGAGGTGAAGTAGACGGTCATGCTGACACTTAGGCCACTTACTTTATAATCATTGCCATTTTGTGGTCAACAGATTTTAAATGTTTGAAAAGGTAGATGGTAGAACCTCAAAATCACATATTTTTCTACTTTATTTAAACAGTAAGATAAATCCTACAGTCAATCACTCCTGAGTTACAAATAGAACAGAACAGAAACATACAAGGAAAAGACAGAGCCCAGGGATATCAAGAAATTCTAAGGGATTACTGACAGCCCCTAGAGCCACACCCTGAGTTCACACTTCTGGGTTCTTAAACTGAGAGAAAACAAACTTCTGTGCCTAAACAAGGAAGCTACCCATTTTTATTTGTTGTCACAGCAGCAGCAGAAAACTTAGGGAGAGTTTGATTCCAGAAAGTAAGGACGATATTCTAACAAATACCTGAAATATGGAAGTGGTTAGAATCGGATAATGTACAGAGGCTGGAGAAATTTTGATGTACTTCAATAATAAGAGGTTGGTTTGACTTGAAGAGACTAGTGATAAATTATTATGAGAAATGAGGGCTCAGAAATGAGGAATCCAGTAGGGAATGTTCCTATTGTCATGAGCAGAATGTCTCTAGAAATGGACCGGCTAAATGTGCTCTGGTGAAACTTCACAAAAAAATGATCATCATGTTACTGGGCACTAGGGGGAAAGTGATTCATATTATTAAGTGGTTAAAAACCTAGTCTGCATAATGTTCAAGTACTTTGTAAAAAATTTAGAACTTGTAAATGATGAAGTTGGATATTTTACTAAGATTTCTAAGCAAAATCTTGAACAGCTTAGTTTCTCTTTTTTCACTTAGAATACAATGTGGAGGAAAAAAGAGTCTTAGAAATAAACTGTGCAAAAAGAAATTGGAACTTAAAAGATTTGGAAAAATCTGTTGTGAGAAGGAAGTAAGCTTTGCCTGGAAAGGCTGTGGCCATGCAAACATTTGTTAAAGAGATGATGACTATGACTGATGGATCTGCTTCACCGTCTCAGCAGAGACCCTGCCAGCTCTCGCTGAAAGTGACCAAGAGGGATGAAGTGGAAGACAACCGTTCTGCTTCTTGCAATTTTAAAGGCAGGAAATGCACCAATGGAGCCAATTGATTTTAAACTGTTGTGAAGAAGAAGGAGGAGGAAGAGGAGGAGGAGGAGGAGGAGGAGGAGGAGGAGGAGGAGGGGGAGATAAGCTGGAAGGACATGTTTGCTTTCATGGGCAGCCTAGACACCAAGGGCACATGTTACAAGTATGAGGCAGTGCTGGGCCGGCTGGCCCTGGAGCTCCACAAGTGCATGGCCAAGCTGTTGCACACCCACCGCAGCACCACGCATCCTACAGCCTGCTGTCTGAGCCTGTCTGAGCCCCTCAGCTTCCCTGTATGGCCGGTTGTCAGAGTTCTCAAACTGGCCTCTGTGGTGCTCCGAGGGGGACCTAAGGTAATTCAGGAGGCCCTAGAAGGAAACCCAGCATTCCAGGAAGTATCGTAGAGGCTTTGGGCACCCACCCTCCACGTTCCCCAACTGATACCCGACTCCCAGTTGATGTCCATTGTAAGCTCTTGGTTTTCCCCCACGATTTTGCCAAATAAAAATTTGAAGAAAAAAAAGGTTTACAATGAAAATGCCTGTACCATGCTAGTAAGGTATGGCTTTCTACGCAGCATTTCTTTCACCTGTTTATTCTTTACTTAACAGCAAAAAGGGTGGAATTGACTTCTCTCTTTTCAGAATTCAAATACATCCTTAAGCAAAATTTACTAGTTCTGCACTGTGGCGCTGTTAGGTAAGCAATGAACTGTTAAACACAAGGTCTGTAGCTCAAACCTACCAAACTCAGGGAGAAAGATGAGGTTGTCTACCCCCATAAAGATTTACAGGCCAGGAAACTATACAGGGTGGACTGATGGCACACTGGTTATGCATTGGGCTGCGATCCACAATGCCATCTGTTCAAAACACAGCTGCTCCAAGGAGAAAGACAGGGCTTTCTACTCCCATAAAAAGCATCAACTGTGCCTCTGGCAGATCCCCGCTAGTCACAGATGAGGGACTTGAACAGCTTTACTACCAGAGATTGTAAAATTGGTCAGAGTGGATGAAACTGGTATAATAGTTGGTCAGCTAACCTCTCTTGACACAACCTGAATTTGCTCTAGGCTCAAATACACCTCAATTGTTCCAAGACAGAAATTTCTTCAACTTTTAAAATATTGTTGGTGATCTTTTCTTTTTGGTCTTCTTTTTTATAATTTTTATATTATCCTTTTCTTCTTTCTGTTTCATTTTTTTATTGCTTCTGTTAGGTCTCACAGTTTAATGAGCACAGAAGTGGATGCATAGAGACAATAACTGGTACAATGGTGTATAGGGAACTGGGGGTAGGGGAGGAATTGTGGAGCAAACAGTGGATGTGGGGCAGGGGAGATAGGGACTGGTTTTTTGGGTTTTTTTGGTCTTCCGTATTCAATGCCTAACTTTCTTTCTTTTTCTTTTTTTTTTT